TATCCCTTTGATACTCTAATCAAATCTTAGATGTGTATTTGTTGCCTCGGTTCTTTCTTGTAGGGGAGACAAGCACCAGGCATCTCTAGTCACCCATCTTGCTTGATTTACCATAATTCGTAAGGGCCCTAGGATTTTCAGAATAGTCAATGATTGTTGGCTTCAACTTAAAGCCACCAGCTTCATTAGCCACTAACAAGAGAACTGGCCTGTGCTTTGAAGCTTTGAAACCATGCATTGACTTCTCCTCTCTAAATACAAAAGTCCTAGATGGCATCTTCTTCCAATAAAAGGCTATCTTGTCTACATTGAAAATCTGTTGGTTAGTGTGGCCACCTTCATCAATTATCTCAGCTAGATCTTCTGGATAACTTGCTGTTGCTTCTGCATTGGCACTTGCTGTTTTACCTTGTACTTTTATGTTAAGGAGATGGTTTACTTCCTTAACCTCATGAACCAACCTTTTAGCTTCAAGCTTTTCTTCTGCAGCTTCCTTACCTCTCCCAGCCTTCATTGAATCAAAGAGTGAGGGCCTTGTCCTGGACTAGGCTTTGGCTTAAGGGAAGGCTGTGGCTGGTTTGATCTTTTATCCAGACCACTAAAACATTCTCCACATTAGCTATCAGACTGTTTTGCTTTCTCATCATTTGTATGTTCACTGGAGTAGCAGTCTTAATTTTCTTCCAGAAGTTTTTTGGCTTTTTCATTTTGTTTTTTGTTTTACATTCACAACTTGGGTGAACTGGTGCAAGTCTAGCCTTCCTTACAATCATTTCTAGCTTTTGGTTTAAAGTGAGAGACATGTGACTCTTCCTTTCACTAGGACACTTAGAGACCATCATAGGCTTATTAAATGGCCTACTTTCAGTATTGTTGTGTCTCAGGGAATAGGGAGGCCCACGGAGAAGGAGAGAGATGGGGGAATGGCTAGTCAGTGGAGCAGTCAGAACCAACATGTCATTAATTAGGCTGGTCATCTTAATATGGGCATGGTTCATGTTGCCCCAAAATAATTACAATAGTAACATCAAAGATCACTGATCACAGTTCACCATAACAGATATGATAATAAAAAGTTTGGAATATTGCAAGAATTATTAAAATGTGACAGAGACACAAAGTGAGAACATGCTGTTGGAAAAATAAAACCAGTAGACTTACTCAACGCAGGGTTGCTACAAACCTTCAGTTTATAAAAAAGTAATATCTGAGGGGCAATAAAGCACAATAAAACAAGATATATCTGCATACACACACATATGTATATATAAACTATATATGTATACATATACATATATAGCCTAAAGGATATATACATATATGTTTTCATATATACACACATGCTTATATATATAAAAGGATATATGACTACTGATGTTATTAATTTGGGTCAGTGCTAAAGAATATGTCTATATATATAGATATGTATACACACATTTAAATATGCAAATATACAGACATGTATCGAGACATGTGTATCTACATACACACAAATACATATTTATATACCTATATATACTATATATATAGCTAAAAGATATATCTGTGTATATATATACACACACAAATATATACATGTGTGTTGTGTGTGTGTGTGTGTGTGTAGATAGATCCTTTAGAAGTGACCCAAATTAATAACCTCAGTAGTTTTCAGTGACACCACCATTGAAAGGCGAGTTATATCAAAGATACATCAAAGTAGTGAAAGACTACTGATGTCATTTTATCCGGGCCAGTGCTAAGGATTAAAAATGTACAGGTCAGGTCAAGTGACTTTAGAGACATACTTTTCTGGTTGAAGTTATATACTATTGCTCTACATTTATAAACTGGTTGAACTCTGAAAATGTATACGTGAGTGATTTGGAGTCTACTATTAATATATCATTTTTTCCTAGAAGAAAACCTTACATTATGTAAAGGTGCTCTTGGGCCTTAACAAATAGTCTAATGAATCACAGTTTAAGTGCAGTTCTGTATTACTTCTTTGTGAGTGAATTTTACCAATCTCAATACATCCCTCTCTTCTTTCTCTCCATATTTTGAAATCTCACCCATCATTGATGACTCTACCACACATTACTCTTTTTAATTCAATGGGGCAGTAGCTAAAGGATTAAAAATGCACATAGCAAGACTCCACATGTTATTCTAGACTTAATTTTCTGATACAAATTAGCAATAATTATTCTACAATCTATAATCTAGTTACCCTGAAAAATTGACATTAATCAGTTTTTTATTTGAAACCTGGTATTTAATTTTTCTCTGGAAATGAAGTTTTAGACGTTTGTAATGAAATTTTTTGGCCTGTGAAAAAAACTTAATGAATCAAGTTTATATACATTTCTTTACTCCTAAACGTAATCCCCAAGTTACTGTTTCTGGCAAAATTTACATAAATTCAACTTCAGTTTGTAAATACCCACCTTGCTTGCCCTTGTAATTTTCTGCCTTCTCACGTTCAAATACCACCCGTAACTCTTCACCAATCATGGATGTCTTTCCTGCCCCTCCGACAGGGCTAAGTAACTACAGACCCAAGGCAGGGCGCCTCCATACAATCTGATGGTGGGTTTACCTTTGGGGCAGTAGCCTCATGCGGTAACAGACGGAGAGACCAGGGTCTATTAGCTTTGTTCTTTTCTGTTGAGAGCTCCTCAGCGACCTGCTCACTGTTACCTCCTCCTTGCTCCAAACAGGACGGCTGCCTCTTTAGAGTGTCATACAATACACACGTTCTCATATTTCCCTAAGGTTTCAGGGTGCTGCTAAATAAGGGTGACCGATGGAATAGGAATAAGCAGCATTCAGGGTGCTGCTAAATAAGGGTGACCGATGGACTAGGAATAAGAAGCATTCAGGGTGCTGCTAAATAAGGGCGACCGATGGACTAGGAATAAGAAGCATTCAGGGTGCTGCTAAATAAGGGCGACCGATGGACTAGGAATAAGAAGCATTCAGGGTGCTGCTAAATAAGGGTGACCAATGGAAGAGGAATAAGAAGCATTCCTCTTAAGACCTATTCCTCTTTTATCCAACTAGATCGAAGAAAGAAAGGTAACTGCAGATACTACAGTAATGAGACTTTAGAAAACAGTGTCTAAAACATTCTGTATTGTCATGGATGCTCCAATGAACTTCCCAAATCTGAATCTCTCTTTTCTACATGTATGCTTTTGTGTGTGTCTACGTATGTATTTACATATATATGTTTACATCTAGCTTTTTATTTACTTAAACCTCAAATTTTGTTGAAAGTCCCTTCATGTGTTACTGTTGTCATTTCACTGAAGGCAGTGCTGATGGAGCAAAAAGGTACATAGGCACAGAGTGAATTTCTCTTTTTTGACACTGTTAGCAAATACATTATTTGTACCAAAAGTAGATTTTCCATAAATATGAAATACGTACGTATATAAGTGAGGGTATGCAAATCCTACCACATAAGCCCAGTAAGTAAAGTCCAACAATTAACAAAGATTCATTTATCAATGGTCAATTAGAGATTAATTAAACTACATATAAATTAAACCTATGTACATATTAGAAATACATTTTAGCCAGGCACAGTGGCTCATGACTGTAATCCCAGCACTTTGGGAGGCTGAGGCGGGCGGACCACGAGGTCAGGAGTTCAAGACCAGTTGGGCCAATATAGTGAAACCCTGCCCCTACGAAAAATACAAAAAATTAGTCAGGCATGGTGGCACGTGACTGCAGCCCCAGCTACTCAGCAGGCTGAGGCAGGAGAATCACTTGAACCTGGGAAGTGGAGGTCGCAATGAACTGAGATCGTGACACTGTGCTCCAGCTTGGGCAGCAGTAAGACTTCGTCTCAAAAAATAATAATAGAAATGCATTTTAATTTACCCATGCCTCCAACGTCCTATAAAATAAGGACGTCTAATAAATCTTTTAAAGATTTATTTATTGGCTTAAAAATCAATACTACATACAAAACTCACATACTATTGCTTAATGAGCAACTACAGAATTCTCACCTAGATGTTTCCTTAATCAGTCACTGATTAAACACAATCCTTTTATTCCTTCTGTAAAATCTCATTCATTTTGCATATTTTCTTGAGCATTACACTACAATTAACTTGAATCAGGTTTTCCATATTACTTACACCTTTATGATTTATTTCTAGGAGAAGTTTTCACATGACTGGGAAAACTCTCCACCACCTCCTTCCTTTCATTGATCGTGCTAGTCTTTCCTGCCCATGAGACACAGTGAAGTACCCGCGCACCTAAGGAAAGCGGCATCCAACGAGGTGGTGGGTTTGGGTTGGGTCTGGGCACCAACCTCACATGTGGATAGAGCTCTCGAGGGTGTGGGACAAGTCCACATTCCATTAGCTCCCTTCTTTTTTTCCCAGGGCTTCACTACTCCTTATTGGCTGCTATCTCCTCCACGTTGCAAATAGGATTCTCTCCTTTCTTGGCACACTATGGTAGGGTCTCAAACTCAGGAAACCTGAATCCCTTAAAAAATTGCCTACCAGAAATTGAGGGTGACAAATACACTAACAGGAAGAAGCAGTTCTCCTATGAACTGACTTCCTTATACAACTCCATCTAAAAAGGATGCAAAGTTACCTACAAATGCTACAATGAGAAGAATTGGAAACCCTGTTAAAAACACTGTGTGGCCATGCAGGCTCCTGAGAGTAAATTCCACAAATGTCCGTCTGTCTCCGTGTTTTCTGTTTCCATTGGGTGCGTGGGTTTGTTTGTGTAAATGTGTTGACAGAAGTGTGTACGGATGGAGATAGATGGATCTATTTGTGTCCGTGCTTGTGTGTGTGTATAGCTCTAAGCACACTTATGCATACGTGTGTCTTTATGGATTGATAACTCACCTTTTACTGACAGGTGACAACAGGTCTGCTCCTTTACATTCAGTGCTGTGTGGGCTAGAGGATGATTAAAGAATACAGTCAGTTAGGAGACATGATTCTAAATTCACTTTTCTGGAAAAATTAGCTTTTATTACTCTAGACAGAAACCAATTAATTTCTGTCAGGAAATCTGAGTCCCATAAAAAAAACTGCTTATTAGGAACTAACGGTGACAAATACACTCACAGGAGGAAGCAACTCTCCTATGACCTGCTCCTCTTTAATCAACTCCACCAAAGAAGGATGCAAAGTTATTAACAAATGCTACAATGAGAAGAATTGGAAACTTTCCTAAAAAAAAAAAAAAAAATCTATATGGCCATGCAGGCTCCTGAGAGTAAATTCCACAAATGTTCATCTGTTTCCTTTCTCCTTGTTCTAGGTTTCCATCATGTGCATGGATTAATTTGCGTACGCATGTTGAAGAGAGGTGTGGATGGATGGATGGATGGATGGATGGATGGATGGATGGATGGATCTGCTCATGTGCCTGTGTGTGTGTTTAGTTCTGTGCACACTTATGCTGATGGGAGTCTTTATTTAACTATTTATTACTCACGTTTCATTCGTAAGTGTCTCCTCGGTTGCTCCTTTCAATTCATTTGTCTGTGGACTAGCAGATGATAAAAGAATACAGTCAGATAGGAGACATAATTCTGAATTTATATTTTGGAAAAGTTACCTATCATTACTCTAGACAGAAACCAATTAATTTCTGACTATTCATTTGTACAGTACTGTTGGAATACGGAATGTCTTTTTTCTTTATTAGAAATAAGGATTTATATGACGACAACCAAAATCATAAGCTGGGGAAAATAGTAAAGCTTCTCGGTGTAAGTACACCTCTTACGACCTCAGTCCCAATGTGTGACAGACTTTGTGGTGGCAGCTATTTCAAACTCAACTCCTGTTTGCAGGTAGTCAGCCCTCTTATTCCATTCAATGTTCTGCTTCAAAGGCCCTCCAATACCTCCTTACCTTCACCCAGCATGGTGGTTTCTCCTGCCCCACAAAAAGGGTCAGGTAACTAGAGGACTGACACAGAAGCACAATCCAATAGGACAGTGATTTGAGGTTTGGAGCTCCAGCCTCCGTGGTGGCAGAGTTCTGGAGGGTGGAGAACACCTCCAAGGCTCTTAGCTCTGTTGCTTTCTGCTGAGGGTTTCACAGTTCCCTGTGCACTCCTACCTCCTCCTCGCTCCAAACAGGATTCTCTCTTCCCTCGGCCCACTCTGCTGTATCTCATACACAGAAAATCAGAGTTTCCAAGGCATTTCACTGCTACTAACAAATGGTGAAAAGACAGTAACAGACAGAAGCCTCTCTCTATAGTCTGTTTCTTTTTTTCTAAACAATTGTAAAAATGTGGAAGTTATCTAAACGTGATATAGTGAGATGATCAAGAAACTGTGTCAGAGACACTTTGTATTATTGGGAACACTTCTGAGAGTGAATCACACTAGTACACCTTTTTGTTCTTCCTTTTTTTCTTTTTTTTTTTTTTTTTTTTGCGACAAACTTTTTCTCCTGCTGCCCAGAGTGGAATGCAGTGGCATGGTCTCAGCTCACTGCAACCTCCACCTTCCCATGTTCAAGCAATGCTCCTGCCTCAGAATCCCGAGCAGTCGGGATTAGAGGCAACTGTCAACACAGCTGGCTAGTTGTTGTAGTTTTAGTAGAGACGGGATTTCACCAGGTTTGCCAGCCTGGTCTTGAACTCCTGAGCTCAGGGTATCTGCCTGCCTCGGCCTCCCAAAGTGCTCGGATTACAGGTGTGAACCACTGCACCTGGCCATGTGTACATCTCTTATAACTCACCTGTCACTGGGGCTTCTCTCAATGATGACTCCCTCCAGGGCATTCGGATCGGGACTAAAGGACAAATATGGCCAGAGTCAGACACAATGCGTTATCCTAATGTTTTGCAACAAATAGCTACAGTTAGTCTACATGTATGTATATCACTAAATTGACCCAGGATGGCATTTGTTTTTTATTAGAAATGAGGTTTTAAATGCCAACAGTGAGTATCTTAGGCTGTGAACACAGCAATGCCTCCAGATTAAGTAACGGTATCTACACCTCAGTGTGCAACAGCATTTCTGGAGAGCATTTAATTCCAGTTCAAATTTAGTTTGTAAGTCCCCCTTCTTATAATCCCACCTGAGTTCCCCATTCTCTATCACCTCCAATCACCTCCTCACTTCCCACCCACCCTAGTTGTCTTTCCTGACCAAGGGTTGTGGCCAAGTAGTTACAGGCCTCAAGCAAGGGCTCCATCCCATGTGAGGGTGGGTATGGGCCAAGGCAGTCAGCCTCATAAAGGCAGAGCTCTGGAGGGTGTGGGAAATAATTCCAGGGTTGTGGAATCTGCTTCTTTTCTCTGGCTGGCATTTCTCTGATCTTTGTCCGCTCCTATCTCCTTCTCGCTCCAAGCAGGATTCGCCTCTCCCTTGGTCCATGCTACTAGTACAGTCTCACTCTCACAGAAAGGAAATGCTTGACAAACACTAACATAAAAGCCTCCCTCTACGAGTTCCTCCCATTTCCTACCTCCATCCAAAAAACAAGGGAATATTCCATACAAAGCTCCACTCTGAGAGGACTCTAGAAATAGTTTCGACAGCTCCTTGTTCCCATGGATGCTTGTGACAGTCAACAGCCTTTCGATCTCTCTTGTGTGTATGAATGCATGTATGTGTTAGTATATGCATGGAGAAATACATGTATAACTGTATTTCTTTACATCACATGTAGCACTGGCCAGCCTACTAGAAGATACTCTCGATTCACACACAGGGCAGTGCCAAAGAACTTAAAATGTACATAGTAAGACAACATGTAACTTCCTAGACTTAACGTTTTCAGTTCAAAATAGTTCCAATTGCTTTTGTTTTCTCTTTTTGTTTTTTGTTTTGTTGTTGCTGTTGTTGTTTGTTTTTGAGACAGAGTCTCCCTCTGTCACCTAAGCCGGAGTACAGTGCCATGATCTCGGCACACTGCAACCTCTGCCTCCCAGGCTCAAGCAATTCTCCTGCCTCAGCCTCCGGGGAGCAGGGACTACTGGTGCCAGCCACTGCACAGCTCAGCTGTTTGTATTTTTTTTTTTTTTTGAGACGGAGTCGCTCTGTCACCCAGGCTGGAGTGCAGTGGCCGGATCTCAGCTCACTGCAAGCTCCGCCTCCCGGGTTTACGCCATTCTCCTGCCTCAGCCTCCCGAGTAGCTGGGACTACAGGCGCCCGCCATCTCGCCCGGCTAGTTTTTTGTATTTTTTTAGTAGAGACGGGGTTTCACTGGGTTAGCCAGGATGGTCTCGATCTCCTGACCTCGTGATCCACCCGTCTCGGCCTGCCAAAGTGCTGGGATGGGGTTTCACCAAGTTGGCCAGACTGGACTTGAACTTCTGATCTCGTATCCACACGCCCTGGCCTCCCCCAAGTGCTGGAACTACGGGCGAGGCCACTGCGCCCGACCTTCCAACTACTTTTCAACCTGTAAACTGCCTTACCCTTACAGAAGTCATGTGTGTATTTGGTTCTTTGGAATCTGCCATGCCATTTACCCTACACATCATACTTTATACAACTGCAGCACATACTTTACACCTATCTAAGACTCACCAACTCAAGAGTTCACCAAAACTCTCTACCACTGGAGCTAAGCCATCCGACTTAGCCCAGCCTTTTGAAGCAGGTCAATTTCTTTATTCAACTCCCACTGTGTAGGCATTCCTCCCTCTAATCCCATCTGGCCCACTTCTGGATCTCCCTGCCCTCTTTCCTTTCACATATCATGCTAGTCTTTCCTGTCCAGGAGACACAGGCAAGTAGCTGTGGGCCTCAGGAAGGGCTGCATCCAATGAGGTGCTGTGCTTGTGTTTGTGTTTTAGCACCAACCTCATGTGCTGACAGAGCTCTGGAGTGTGAGGGACAAGTCCATGTTCCATTCGCTCCATTCTTTTCTGCCCAGAGGCTTCACTGCTCTTGTCGGCTGCCATCACCTCCATGTTGCAAGTGGTTTCTCCTCCTTCTGTCCAATCTCACAGGCTCTCAAACTCAGAAATCTGAGTCCCTTTAAACTACTTCAGGAACCTGGGTAAGGCCCACTTCCTGGATCTCTCCATCACCTCTTTCCTTTCACCCATCATGCTAGTCTTTCCTGTCCAGGAGACACAGGCAAGTAGCTGTGGGCCTCAGGAAGGGCTGCATCCAATGAGGTGCTGTGCTTGTGTTTGTGTTTTAGCACCAACCTCATGTGCTGACAGAGCTCTGGAGTGTGAGGGACAAGTCCATGTTCCATTCGCTCCATTCTTTTCTGCCCAGGGCTTCACTGCTCCTTGTCGGCTGCCATCACCTCCATGTTACAAATAGGATTTTCTCCTCCCTTCTGTCAATCTCACAGGCTCTCAAACTCAGGAAATCTGAGTCCTTTAAGAACCTGCTTACTAGGAACTAAGGGTGACAAATACACTAACAGGAAGCAGCAGCTCTCCTGTGACCTGCTCCTTTCTATATGACTCCATTAGAAAAGGATGCAATGTTACCTACAAAGGCTATGAGGAGAAGAATTCAAAACCCTGTGAAAAACCACTCTCTATGGCCATGCAGGCTTCTCAGAATAAACTCCACAA